ACCCTGAGCCGGTGAGATTTGAACCGCTGACCTGCTGATCTAGCAGTAGCCTGCAGTGCTGCATTTAACCACTGCGCCACCTTGGCTCTAGATTTCTAGATTTATCTAGATTTTTATTTGCAAGAAGTATTTTCAAGACACAAAATGCATTGAAGCATCAGTTTACCGATATTTTTATTGTTCTTTTTTCAGAAGTCCTTACAATCTCACTTTTAATTAACTCAGTTAAGTATTTCATACTTAAGTATTAAGTTAAGTATTTCATACTTAAGTATTTCATACTCTGGTAGATGGATTTCCCTCCATAGGAAGGGTAAAAGAACCTTATACTGGACATTGTATACTTTTTACAGCATATAAATGTCCATTATTAGTAAGGTAGCCCTAGCCATCATTTCATGTAAGAATGTGTGTTGCCAGAGTGGGACTATATATTTATCCATTTCACTAATCAGCCATTAATGGAGACTGATGAGTTCTGAACAAAAGAATCATATCACTAATAAAATTATAACACTGGCTACAGTTAGCAAATGTAAATATTACTACGTTTCAGCCAAAATCACTTGTAGCATATAAACGCATGCAACCAATTCACCAAATACTATCACATGCCATTCCATGCTCTACTTCAATGTTTGTTGACCTTAGCAACCTTAAGACCCGACAGCTGAAATCCATATGTTTTAAAGTTCCCAAAGCAGACAAACACTATTTCAGCTGATTGATGCAGGATATGTTGGAATATCAGAAAAGCCAGGATTCTGTTTATGACATATAATTCAAGCCCCACCATTTTTGTATGAATCATGCATGCCACTCCAGAGGAAGGGACACAGTCTTGATGTTTCTGGCCTTCTCTAAATTGATGTATGGAGAGATTGCAGAGACCTCTTAATTGGGAGGATTGTCAAACTTGCATCATCACGTCGTCATCACGTGATGTATCACAACTTTTTTCTGCTTCGCTAAGCTGGGGATGGGGTGGCCAGCATATGATGCATCCGGCCCGCGGGCCGTAAGTTTGACACCACTGACATAGGCCTTTGCTAATGATGTCTTTCCAATATATACATGCTAGGGGTGAGCAGCTTAAGCCATAAACACCAGTGACTGTCCAAAGTAACATTCTGTATGCTTTTCTGAATAATTTTTCCTTCCTATGTATGCTTTTGTTAGTCACAGAATATTTGAATGCAAAACATCAGTTACCAAAAAATATTCCAATAGTATTTTAAACAATTAATAAATAAACCTCTTTATTATAATTACTTTTAAAAAAATCACAGTGTATGCAAAATGGATGAGATTAAACATTTCATGTATATAAAATTGGCACAGTAATGCTTCATTTGTTTGAATAAGTGCACTGAAATCAGCATCCACCTTTTTCTGATCCCTACACATTTTATCAGTTTATGATGAGCAGCTATACCTTGTGAGATCTTTTGCATGGGAGGGATAAGGAATTGGTGTATATTTTTAGCATTATTTAGGATGTAAAATAATTTTGGTTGCAAGATTATTAATGAGGAAGACTTTTGGTAGAGAGAAGAACAGAAAATAATTAATGTTTTATAGGTTGGGAAGGAAGCATCAACAAATGCTGATAGGGGTTTTTCATGTCCCACTGAATTTGTCATAGACTTTACAGTGAAATTACTAATGAAAATTGACAACAGCCAATTAAGTGTCAGAAGACACTTAATTGGCTGTTGTGTCACAAGTGTCACAAGAACAGTTTCTTGTTTCTATGGGCAAATTAAGATAAATTTTCTCTTTCCGTCTAATGACTGATTGCATTAAAATCAATGTATCTTTCATTCATTCATTCATTCATTCAGATTCTCCTTCAATACATCAACAAGAATATTTATGAATTGAATATAATGTATGATGTTCCCTCAGTTTAGAACATTGCTATCATTTTACAGAATGGGTCTGATGAAACAATGAGGATAAAGCAATGTGGCACAAACAACTAATAGAGAAATTAATACTTTTTTTTCTAATGAAAATTGGTGTTTGATGGAGATTGGAATGAGGCGTTTTTTCTCCCTCATTTAGATAGAACATCTGAGAAAAACATTTAAAGCAGTCAAGGTAAATTACCAAATGCCATTTTGATTTGATGAACAATTTAGAGTTAGTGTAGGCATGACAGAAAAAAATGGTAACTCTAAAGAATATGCTTATTATTCAGAAAGACATAATTTTTTTCAGTAATAGATAAGTGTTGAATTAGCTACTAAGATTTCTAAAGTAGGGATCTTGCCAAAACTTGTTCTGATCATAATCTTATGAATTAGGTTTATAAAGAGAAAGCTACTACTTTAAGATGGAGATTAAATGAAATACTATTATAAAAAGAATAATGGATTATAAAAAGAATTTAACAGAATTTTTGAACATAATTTAACTGTGGGCATGGATTTAAGAATGGTGTGGGATGCAAATAAAGTTTTTATGAGAGGATAGCATATAATTTAATACTGGTCTTAAAAAGAAGAACCAAGGAAAATATAGGCTATCTTAATGGGATACAACAAGAACAATAAAATTTCCAAGGAAGATAAATATTTCTTATCAAATTATAATTTTACAACAACAGTTGTTGATGTTAACAATAAAACAAATGGATATAAAATGAATTATGCAAAGCAAAAAAATTGAATTTACAAATAAATTGGGGAAACATTTACCATATAAATTAAGAAATGAAAAAGAAAAAATATGGAAATTTCAAAAGGGGGAACACTGTATTAATGGATAATATGGCAACACCCCCCCAAAAAATCATCAGTATTATTCTATTTTTGTATAAAGGACATAGGATTCCCAAGAAGAAATTAGAAATGAACTATTTTTTAAAATTTTGGAAGATATAAATTTTGGAGAGAATTTCATAAAATGGATTTCTTTTTTTCTTAGTTCTTTTGTCTTCTCTCTTTATTCTAAATATTAGTTCTTATTAGTTTTATATATAAACTATCATCTCACATAGGATCTTATTGAACAGCTAATTCATTGATGATATTGCCCAACATTTGAAATATCTCAAGATACAAACTCACAACAGATCTGTCTCTTTTATAGGTGGAAAACTATCTGTGGATATACTGGCAGGCTGGTCTCTGCTTCCAGTGCTTCTTGCTAGTCATACAGATGATAGCACCTCATTGGTAGGATCCCTTCCTTTCTTATCATCACCCCTTTCAAGGTCAATGAAGTGGACAATTCCAGGTTTCTGGAGTAGATCATCTGTTTCCCTCTGGCTCTTGGGATCTTCTACTTCAATGTATTTTCCTTTGGATTGCTGGGTTGTCTTATTTTCCTTGAACTTAAGATCATCATCAGGGCAATAGACGTATTGATAAAGAGCACCCGCCAGGGTAGCTCCTATAATTGGTCCCAGCCAATATACCTGTACAGAATCAGAAGGAGAGGAAATTTGATACAGGGGATGAAGAACCGACTAATAAATGAAAGGGTGGATAGTAAAGTTCTTTTAGCAAATGGCTTGCAATGACATGATTGGTTACCCTCTCCCATACTTCTACAAGTAAATATAAAAGTCAGGAATTTTTATGGTTTAGCAGTAGATGTTTTTTCTGTACTTTCTGCACAAATACTCAAACCCAGGCAAACTAACCACATTTTTAGATGTTATTGCCATGTTGTTCCACAATGGTATGTTGTGCCTTTCTTCAATCAAAATGTGTTAAATGTATTGGATGAAGAATGACTGGTGTTCAGAATTTTGATTGGATCATAATTTGTTTTCTTAATTATGAAGTCTATGATTCACAATGGAAAACTATAAATATAGGAAAGAGACCTGTGGGTTTTTGTTTTGTTTTGTTTTGTTGTTTCAAAAAGTCAAGTTGAAAACTGCAACTATGAAATCTAAGCCTTCTTTTTTGTATGTCCCATGCATGGTGAATATAAACAGGCAGTGAAGTTTCAATCTTGACTTTTTGACCCCTTCCCCACAGGCACAGTATCCCCAAAATAATTTGATTTACCAATCTTAAAAAGAATGAAAGATATCTACAAAACAAAAAGAAAAAAAACTGGTTGTGTTTTTTTTACACAAAAGCCGTTTTATAATTTATTACCTTTTTATAAAATAAGCAAACAAAATAACAGTTACAGATATTAAGTGTTCTGGAAAAATGAGTAATAGTAAAGTATAATAACTTACCCAGTGATCTTTCCAGTTTCCCATGATAACTGCAGGCCCAAATGACCGAGCAGGGTTCATGCTGGCCCCTGTGTAACTGATCTGCAGTATGTATATACATACAAATATATAAATATTTGGAAAGGAAGTGTATGATTAACCATAAGCAAACACACTGTTAAAATTCTTATAGAATCATCCTTTTCCAGTGGTACTGAAATGAGGGATGCTAATTCTAAGGCTCTTATACATCTCCTTTCTTAGGGGCATATTTGTGGATGAAAAAGGTTACCAGGTGTGTGGTTTTGACTTGTTTGGAAAAGAAACTTGCTGATCTGTTGATGGCGTTGCTGGGCTCTTTCTATTGGAGCAGGTTTTACTTCCTCCCTACCATGAGGGTGTTTTTTACATAATATACTTGATATCTGAACTCATGTCTGATAATGCCCTTTGAGCTCTTCCCATTTGATTGGCAAAAAAATTTCTAATTTTTTCTTCATTTTATAAGTGTGGATTTTGATGATGGAGTACCTTTGACATAATGTACATTTTTGTAGGGGCTTAGAAAGCACAGATCATTTCCAAGAACTGTGCTTTCTCTCCAGCTTTGGAAAGGGACATCTGTTTTCCTTCCTTCCTCCTTCCTTCCTTCCTTTCCATTAATTCATTCAGTTTCTAATGCTGCCCATTCAGTTAATGACTCTGGGCAGTGGACAATTCAAAAAAATATACTACAGTTAAAACACTAACAACATTTTAAAACAATAAAAATATGGCTATTGGGACATTAAATAATAACAGGTAGATTCCTATACTGCACTGTTAAAAATGAGCATGTTATTGTTCTATGCATTAAACAGTTAGATAAAATAGCACCTGGACCACAGTTCATCAGATACAAATACTATAAACAAATAAACAAACAAATATTAAAAATAAATAAATTTCAAAATATTATGTGTATGTGCATGCAGACATACACACACACATATACAAGTATATCCTTATATGGCATAGGGATACTAGTTACTTGAGTGACTGTTCCACATAGTTATATGCCCAATCCCTTCAATCTGGGAGGGTTAGGGTGCTTTAGGGCCCTTCAATTAAACAATGTCATCTGTTGGGTTCCCAGAAGTACAATGCCTTCTATCTGCAATGCTTGATGTCTGGAATGGAGTTTTCCCCAACATCTGGATTTCTTCCACTCTGTTGTCCAGAAAAAGTGTTGAAGATCTTGCCACATTCCATCTGGTCTGTTGTGCTTGCCATCATTGCCCTTTGACTGATACCATTGTAATTACAGAGAACTGCCCAGAGTCATTGGAAGTTGGGTGGCATACAGGGTAAATAAATAAATAAATAAATAAATAAATAAANATAAATAAATAAATAAATAAATAAATAAATAAATAAATAAATAAATAAATAAATAAATAAATAAATAAATAAATAAATAAATAAATAAATAGGTAAATTGTTGTTGTTAAAAATAAAAAAGTTCCTTTATTTACTTTAGATGTTTGTTGAACAAAGAAGAGAACCAGGATTATTTCAAGTGATATACTAAGTAAACTGAAAAAATTAATATAAAACTAATTATATATTTATACATACACACATATTTTGTTTATATTTATACACACATTCAAAGAATAAGAGAAACATATAAGAATATTATTAATTTTAATATATATTTGACTCAAATGATTCCTAAGATGCTTGCTTGCATATAAATATTTTAAATATAATTAACTGAAAGTTACAGCCTCTGACCACGCATGGGTTTCAGAATAATAAGCTAATAGGCTACTTAAAACATTGCTACTCTATATAATTTATAAGTCCCTAGCTAAAAAAGCTAATGAAAGAAGCAACTTACAGCAAATAGATGTCCTATTGCAACCGAGAGTCCAATTCCCAATGCCACAGAACCGGTGACATCATTTCGCTTAGAATCACAGCTGGCAAAAATAGTAAAAACCAGCTGGAAGGTAATTATCAGCTCCACCAAGAGCCCATGTCCACTGGAAAGTTCTGCATGTATCTAGAAGAGGAAACATGCAGAGAGCCAGGCAGCATAAATAAAGTGTGAAATTGTAATTACCAACTCACTAATTAAAATAGTTTCAAAGTACACAAGTGTTTTGGAAAGAAAGAAATTAGAATAAGGCAAGGAAATAATACACTGTTAAAAGCCTTTTAAGTAACAGCCTCTTGGGTAATCTAGGCTTCCTTGACAGGTGGCTCTGAAAGGCTCCTGTTAATGGTTCATTAGCCATTAGATTGTTAGGATACAGAGATGTGTATTTTGCATCCTCATGTGAAATAGCAATGCTCTAAACCAGTGGTTCCCAACCTTTTTTGGGCCATGCCCCATCTAAGCATCTCTAAAATCCTGATGACATATAATTCTTACTTTACTCAAAAAGTGAACTTTATTCACATGGAAGAAGCCTAAAAGGCCACTCACTTGGTTTAAAGACTGTTCCAATTGCCCCCATTAAAAATCAAACTCCCCCCCTTGTGGGAACCACTGCTCTAAACATAAGATGGTTTGCTTACCTGATTGTGGTGTAGATCTTGCTAATATGGCTTATACATTGTGTCCCAAAGGTGCTTTTTCAAGAGGCAACTGGACATTCTTGTTTTTCTGTGAAGATGTTTTGCTTCTCATCCAAAAAGCTTCTTCACTTCTGAACTGAAAAAGCTTCCTACATGAGAAGTGAAACATCTTCAAAGAAAACCAGAAAGTCCAGTTGCCTCTTGAAAAAGCACCTTTGGGATAATCATGACCTGGATGACTGAGAATCTCCATAGACACTTATTCCTTGTGTTATATAGGTGACAGCAGTAAATTAAGCCAATGTGGGGTATTCCCCCAAACCATGATGAACATAGGTTTGTGTGATGTGTGTACACCCACCAACAGCTTTACACTCAACCTAACATCAGCTGTGGCCCTTATTTATATGTGTATGTGTACAAAATAGCCCTCTTCCAAACTCTTGGGTTTTGATGGAAATTTTGCACAAGATTCTTAAGAGTACAACTACTTTTCTATTATTATTTTTCTTTGGCAGATCCATGATTTAGTTTTCTGTTATGAATACTTAATTAGCTCTTACTCAATTAATTTCTGTTTCAAATAAAAATTGACAGCATGTAAGTGCAGTTTCATATCCTGCAGTGAGGTTAATTGATAGAAGAGAACAAAGCTAGAACCAAAAGCAAAGATTATTTTTTAAAAAAAGTTATCTAAAATATACACTTTTGTTTTAATATATCTAGCCTTTTCTTTTAAAATATCCATGCCTGGATGTTATACCTCATATCAATTCTTCTTTTAGTTAGAAATATCTACTAAGGAACAATTCCTAAGACAGAATAAAAAAAAACTGCAAATAAGCTACATCAAATGTATTAAAATAAAAAAGGTCCTTGCTTTAAGTTAAACTGTATACGCCCCCCACAGTTTATTAGGACCTGATACATGCATATAACTGTTGTGAAATATTTAGCAGTTAGTTTACAGTAAAGAATGGATTTATGGGGCGCAGGGCACCCTGCCTATCAAAGTTTCTTATTAACATTTTTCTTAAAGGCATTCTAAATCCGTTCAAAGAAATACATTCCATGTGGGCCTGGAGTTTTATCAAAAGGTCACTTTTGAATTAAAAAATAATCACATGAACCACTTGGGAAACCACTGTTCAAATTTTAAAGCAAGTTTTTCAAAATACTTTCATTAGGTTAATATAATTCTAAACACCTTATATTCATTTTAGCCCTTGGCATCCACATCGTCATCATCATCTATAATAATAAAAAGATGCAGAAGTGAATTTAAGTTATCCAGATCTTGTCCAAAAAAATCCATGCTATAATATGAATGAGACATAGAATGTTTGTTTGTATATTAGTGTGGAAGCCAGAATAAATGTAACCTGAATGTAACCTTTCCAGTCCACACTGGAAAGTCATTTGCTTTGTAAACTTATAAAAGCGGGAAGGGGGAACAGTGGTGCAATTCAGCCAGTTCTATCCTGTTCGGGTGAAGTGGTAGCAATGGCAGTAGGAGGTTCCACCCACTCACCCGGACATCATCATGTCAATTTTTGATGCACTGCACATGCGTGGAAGGTCCTGCGCATGTGCGGAGGTGGCGTGTGCTCCCATTTGCAAACCAGTAGCAAAGGTAAGTTGATTTCACCTCTGAGAGGAGAGTAATTTTTTAATTCTGAATTTATTAACTAGCCATTGTCCCCCAATACAGAATTAAAGCAATTTTCGAGGATTTGAAATCTAATCGGTGTGGGGTTTGTTTGCTCCTAAGACCATGGCAAGGTATGTACTGAACTGTCTTTGATATGAAAAGAAAATGCTTAGTGAAGATATTGGACTAAGCCTGGGAAGGAGAACCTAATTTCAAGTCCATATGCAAATCGATTGTCTCAGTCACCCTCTCTCAAGTAGGGGAAGATTCTTCAGCCATTTTCAACAAGAAAGGGTTTTTCCCATTCAGCAAATGCTGAAATCTGTTTGCAAGGCTTGGAATCGTTATTATTAGAAAGGATAATTCTCCATTCTCTCAACCTACCTGGGTAACACCAAATCCCCCAATTACACTTGATGGAGTGACCAGATAGAGTATTCCTGCCCCTGCGATGGCACCCAGGCATTGGGCTACAATATAGAAGACTGACTTGGCAAGGCTGATCTTCCGAGTGCAAACCATTGCAACGGTTACTGCAGGGTTAATATGGCCACCACTGATATGTCCAATGCACTGGACCATTGTTGCAATGCTGAGTCCAAAGCACAGAGAAATAAGGACCATGTCCACAGGCAGGGGTTTTTCAATCCCACCCCAGTTGATCGTAGAGCCAAGGCTGAGGAAGACAAAAATGAGCATGGCCAAAAATTCTGCTGACACAGACTTCCAGAAGGACTTGGTCCAGATGCCTTTAAATGCTGCCATGACGGCCTCACAATTACACCATCGGCCACACTTACTGAAAAGGAAAACAAAGCAGCATAAGGACTTGATCCTGTCATTTAATAAATGCTTTAAAAATGAATGTGCCATTATTTGCAAAGAACTAATAACAAGAACAGCTTGTAAGAATCTATCACAGACCTGTAATTAGCCAATAACAGTCCCACATCTGCATGGAATGAACAATGGGGAGGGGGAGATATCCCATCTGGTCATCTCTATTCTACATTGTCATGCGTTTATTGATACTCTCCACTTCCAATTCCTGTTTAAAGTTATTACCATAGAAGTAACAAGTGATGGTCTTTTATAAATCACCTTAGAGCCTAGAGTAACAAAGCACAGAGATGAAAGTGAAAAATTAATATTCTTCTTCTGTACCCAGAAGTTACATTCAGGAATAGTATATGTGAGAAGAGATGCCTTGCTTAATAACATTAACACAGACACAGACACAGACACAGACACACATACACACACATATAAAAGGTAAAGTTCCCCTCGCACATATGTGCTAGTCGTTCCTGACGCTAGTGGGCGGTGCTCATCTCTGTTTCAAAGCTGAAGAGTTAGTGCTGTCCAAAGATCCATGGTCTCCATGGTCATGTGGCTGGCATGACTAAATGCAGAAGGCACATGGAAAGCTGTTACCTTCCCACCAAAGTTGGTCCCTATTTATCTACTGGCATTTTTTACATGCTTTCGAACTGCTAAGTTGGCAGAAGCTGGGACAAGTAACAGAAGCTCACCCTGTTATGTGGCACTAGGGAATTGAACGGCCGAACTACTGACCTTTTGATCAATAAGCCCAGCATCTTACCACTGAGCCACTGCCTCCAGTTCTGGAGAACCAGTAGCGGAAATTTTGAGTAGTTTGGAGAACCACTAAATACCACATCTGACTGGCACCGCCCCCATCTATTATCTGCCTCCTGAGACCCAGCTGACTTACAGCATAAAATATTGATATGTTTTGTATACACTTTACAATGTAAGCTCTTGCTCTTTGGAACCGTGGCACGACATAACCAAGATGTCAAAAGCGTGCCGACAACAGCGCGCCGACAACAGTGCGCTGACAGAAGCACGATTTAACTTAAGGTAAGGTTTAGGGTTAGGGTTAGGTTTAGGGTTAGGTTTAGGGTTAGGTTTA